CTCTCTCTCTCTCTCTCTCTCTCTCTCTCTCTCTCTCTCTCTCTCTCGTCACGTTCCATTCGCGATCCGCTCGAAAAGTCTGCGCCGGAAATATTTCACTGGCAACGTGGGGTTTCTCGTCGCTCTTCTCGTAGATCCGGCAACACTGTCGTCCGAGCCTCTGCTAACCTAAAGCCAGGTGATTGCGCGCGATTAAATATAGGACGTCGAATACACCTACCATGTTTAATATTTCTGTCCCGGGGTTTCGTCGAGCACAGGAATCTCTCGATGCTAGCTTGACCTTCCCTCTGTCGCGTTGTCGCGTGCAATCTACGCGTCGAATTGTCGCGTAACATCTACGCGTCGAATTGTCGCGTAACAGTAGCTTACGAGCGGAAACATAACGGACTTTAACGTATCGAACTGAAAACTCGAACTCTCGCGATCGTGTCGACGCGATTCCAACGCTGTTCCGGCGCCTATGGAGGTTACTTGATAATTCCAATCGGGCCTTTTTCAATTTATCTAGACTACAATCGCTTTAGGATTCTCCCGAACAGTCGAGATGAAAAATGTACGTTTGAATATTGGTTCTTTTTAGAGAGATCTGTGATCCACTGATTACCACGTGCTGTTTCTCTTGGTAGGGAAATTATTGAATTATTATTGAATTTTTGACAATTTTGTAAGAAAGATGATGTTCATCCTCGAGTACTGTTTCTGACAAACTCGATATATCTCCCTGTAAGTTTTTTATCATGCACTGCGATAAGTTATAGACTCTCACATTTTACTTTTCTTTCTATTACAAAGCAATTTAGTATTATTTTAAATTTTATTTACTTTCTCATATCATTGAATTTTTCAATATTTAATTAGAGTTTGCACATTTACATCGCCAAGAGTATCGGAACCTTAAAAATATCTAAAATTATCGAGTTTCTATGGAATCGATCCCTAACCTCAAATCATTTCCCTCGGGTAGGCATCGTAACAATTTATTATTGTTGTAGCAAATTTGTTTAGGCCAACATCGTTTGGTTAACACTTCATTTACCGGGTGCCTATTTTTAGCCTTTTTAATTGCAGTATTTAGTTATTAATTTAGTTACTGTGTCGATAGATGTTTACTTACAATGTTCAGTTTTGGGAAACAGACTTGCTTTTCAATCTACCTAGTGACAATACAGTGGAATTATTTTCAATCTACATCGGTATATGCTTTTGTAGAAAATTCTTTTTTTAATTAAAGACTGTTATCTAAATAGCCCCGGTAGATAAAGTATTGAGTCGCATGTTAAGTTTCATCCGTTTCGTGCATTATTCGAATTTTCTAGGAACCCGCGGATGTTTTACCACGTCTCCAAGAAATACTCTTGAAATACTTTTCTCTGGTATGCGCTCTCTCGGTTAGCGAGCGCGTGCACGCGTGTATGCCGAGAACGGTGAATGCCATCGACCGGAAGCGCATACAATGAAACGCGATCTTGCCACTTTTTGTCGTCCCTAACCTAACCTAAACACAGGGACGAGCAGAATTCTCCTCGAGAGAAGATTTAGTAATTCTCATAGCATTTCTTATTAAATGTAATAGTGTCGTGATAGTGTCGTTCGTCATATGCTGTGGTTATTTGTTATTTGAAAATATCATCTAGATTATATTCTTTCCCTAAACATTCGTCTCTAACCTAACCTAAAC